TTCGTAGGTTTCCTCCAGGTACTCCGGTTTCCCTACCAATAGAAGTTAGCTAGGTTAAATCCTCCAGCTCTGGTAGTCCTGACCAAGACGAGCATCAACATCTGGAGATGGGTTCCCGGGCGCTGTTACTATGGCGACCACTGCTCCTGACGTAAGCCTTAGCGGCATCAGGATGGGTCAAATGCAGAGGATGAATTGCCCTACGGGGATCAACGGGGAACTCCCATCTCTGTGTGGAGTGGGAGACAAATGCCCAAAAATAATAACAATTGTAAACCGCTTTGTGACTCTGGTCTGTGAAAGGCGGTATATAAATAAACATTACTTACTTACTTACTTACTTAAAAGTGCACCTTTAAATGTACCCAATATTATGAGTTTCACCTGTAATCTTATTTTTGTTAAATACATTGGACTGTTGGTTTTTTTTAATTAGAATTCTGCATAGAACCCTGGTTTTGTTGTCTGTATTTCCTGGCTCTTTGCAGTGAACATGAGTTTATGACGTAGTTTATAGACACAGCCACCATAACTCAAGGGTTTTTTTTATGAGGGTCTTCATGTAGTCCGCTGTTTTCACTGCTCATGCCTCTTAATGATGTCCTCTCAAGCCTCCATCCAAGGTCCTTGAAGGGCTTTGAAGCTCCTTACATCTTTTAATAAATACATTATTGATGAAATCTGCACAACATGTACCCAACATGCTTCATCTACTAATTGCACAGTTTTATTTCTTTGGTTGACTCATTTTTATTGGTGCATTTTGCAGCATTGGAGGTTAATGTTCTGGGTGTAAGCGTGACAAAAAAATAAAAAAGTGAATTGGATGGTCACATTGTAGTTTAAACCTCATTTTGGGCAAGGCTAAAAGTCGACCCAGTCCCCAGTTACATTAAAAAAGATAAAGTACAAAAGCCACAGCTCACAACACTTACAAAATCACACAGATAAGGCATCCTCTCATCCACATCATATAAAATCACTAACTGAAACTATATTTGTTAACCAAACCAAAAGTTCTATACAAGCAATTCATACTATTGTCCATGATAACATATATATTACATTAGTTGTTGTGTAGTGTGTATATAGAGCCCACCTCAGTGTCCGTATGAGCAGCTTAGAAGGCTCCGAAGCCACTTTATAAGTTTAACTGTAAATGGAAAATAGTCTGATTGACATTTCAGATCTGCTTTGAGCATGTTTCATTCCTTCATATCTTTTACACAAAAAACCTGACTGGATTCTGTAATAAATGTGTGTGAATGAATGAGAGATGAGAGCCATTTTAGTTGGAAATAAGTTTGACTTGTAGACATTGGCAACTTGCAGCCCTAATGTACCCAACATGACTGGGGATGTTACTTGGAAAGCTAATTTCTTCATTCTGTTTCAAATCTGTTAACATTCATTTATTTTGAGTGCGGGCTCCGAGAAAACTTTATCTAATCCGCCATTTCATTACTGTGTGGACAGACGTAAAAATATTAATTAGCTGAGTCTTATAATTCAGTGGAAGTAATTACTTAGAAATGCTTTTTTTTCCACTCGGGCTGCGTCTCAGCTTGTCAGTGTAATTTTGGATTATGATGTAAAATCGAGATTTAAAAAAGACAAAAAAAAAACATTATCACTATTTAATGAGCAGTTGTTCTCCTGCGACAATTATGTACAATGCAACAGTGATTAAAAGTACAATGCATACACAAAAACCCCATAAGATTATTGTTTTCTCTCTGCCACATTACATTAGTAGATGTTGCATGTATTGGGTATAATTGTTCGACCTCACTGTCCACAATTGTCTCAGCAAAAGGGTACACAGCATCATGGGTATTCCCCAATGGGCTCTATGCACGCATCACTTCCTTGTTTTAGCTAAAGCCCCACTTCACTTCCTGTTTGCGGGAAACGGCTTGAGTTTCACTGGAGTTCAGCAGTTTCCCAAATAATGCTCAAACTGGAATTAAACTGTAGGATACTGGGCATTTTTGGGACACAGCAGTGCTCTTTGATCGTGCTTCATTGTGTTTTTATAAAGTTTACAAATCTCTCTGAGTGGCCGCAGTCAAAGCTCTACCTCAGAGAGAAAGCACAGGGATACTTTTGGGTCAGTCTCACAGCTGAATGTATCAATCTAATTACTAAAAAACATCACTAAAACCCACCTAAAAGCCATAGGATAGCATAGACAGGAAGTGAACGGGCTGATCTTTGTTAACTGGAAATGACGTCACGCCTCCCCGTGCATATAGCCCATAGATCCATGGTATTCCCAGGATTCCAAAGCTCAGGAAATAGCTGGCTTCTTTTGTTTTTATATTTAAGCTGTTGGCTGCTGCTCAGAGGTTCACAGACTTGTTTTGCAAAGATTTAATGGACATTCCTCAAACAAAAGCTTTTATTCAGAGTTTTCATTTACTTCCATTTGGTAGTAAATGGAAGTAAATATCTATTTTCTCTCTTATGGAGTTCTTAGTGGTCTCTGCTCTGTGTGCGATTGACAGAACAAAACAAACAAATGCATTTGCTGAGTTTTGCAGGTTGGAGTTTGTATTTTGTGAGCCTGATCATGAAAGTGAGAAAGATCATAGAAATGTGTTGTTTTCATTCATTTCATTTCATTTTCATGTTGTTTTCATGTATTTAAATTCCACGTTTTGTAATAGTTGGCACACTTAATTTGTAAAATTTTGATCTGAATAATTTGAAATGGATAGTCGCGTTGTGGCGCTGAATGTGTGGCTCCAGTCTACATGCAGCACTTTTAACTTTGTTTGGCAATGGTGAGACTCGGATACCTGTGCATCACTGTTCTGGACCGATAGGCGTTCGACAGTGAGGCGCGAGAATTCGATGGTACCAGTGACGGTGCTGCACCATTGGTTCGCAGGCTGCCTAGCACTCCACCTGGAACCTGATAGGAAACCACGTCTCACCTGCGGAGGTTGAGGTACCTGTGTGCTCACACTGAGACCTGACCATGCTAGGACCGGCAATAGTCGCTCAGTTTGCGATTCGATTGGACTTTGTTACCCTCATGTTGTTCCAATGCTATTGCCCCTGAGCAGCTGGGTTGGCGTGTGACTGTTTAGCATACCTCGCGGCCTTCTCGGCTCACTTCCTTCGTTGATGCGTAACACACTGTGCCTCACCTGGCTTTGACCGGAGATCGACTCTACGCCACTCTGCACTCCTCCGAGCTCCAGCATGTGCACTGGCTGACGTAGCCTCGCTGCCTGTGCAATTAGATACTGTAACTGTGACTCCGCCTGATCGCGTATGCTCTGCCCTGAGCGAAGTGTAACTCACCACAGTTCGCTGCTATGCGGTGACTCCGGTATGCAATCACTTACGGTCCAGTCGACTAGTTGCATGACCTGTAGAACTTAACAAACTGTAAATGTGATGACAGTAGCTTCTGACTTTTTCTCACTGGTTGATTGAAGCACAGCCATAAGCAGCAGACTAGTGCCTGGTCTCCTCGGCGGCAGCCTGCTGACTCGAGTACCTATGTGTTTTCACCTATTTCAGACAATCTCAAACCACAAATTCGTGTTAGACAGAAGTGACGTTACGCACGCTTATTAGAACACGGTCCACACAGGCAACCCCACACCTCCACCTTCTTGTACTCCCATCAGCTACCAACACTGACCGCCCACCACCCCTTCGCCTTTCTTAACCTTCGCTCCGCTACACCCCCCCCTCGTCCATGACATCGACCTATGACATATAAGATGCCTACCTGTATTAACTCACTAATAATTTCGTGATTCTGCATGCCTTTGCTGACTCTTGATGCCTCTCTCTATGTGATCTGTGATGAGCTACGACACATCGTGTGGCCTTGACAGCTCACTAGAGTACATACTACGATTGACAGTTCTTACATATGATACATGCTCCACCTAGGTACCTACGATCGAGCAGGGGGCGGCTCGAATGTGCTAAACTTTAGAATCAGACATATCCGACGTAACGACATAGAAAGCCAGGATGGAGGTCACACGTGCTGATCAGCTTTTACAACATAGATTGGGTTGTCCTTCAGTGACCATAGGAGTACGTCACACTTGTGGCAATCATCTCTCCGTATCTTAGTATGAGTATAGTACTCTTAGTTATAGCACATCACGCATACGCAAAATTAGCACTGATACCCTCGTATGTCTTATTATTGTCTCAGGCTGTACATAGGTTGATGAGAGCCGCGCACGAGGGTCTGCGATGGTCCATTATGAGTTTCTACTGTAGACCATCTACACTGCGCGTTTGCGTTCAGGTTGTGTGCCACACTGAGTAACCAGTTGATCGTTACACCGAGGGCTTGCATGGTCATTACGGTGCTAGTGTTTACTATAACCACACTGTACGATACCACTGGTTCTGATTGGTACATAGTGCGCTAGCAGAACGATACAGACGATTGACTGAGCTCTACGTGCTAGTGTGAACGACTCTTTGGTCTCTCAACTCGGGGGGGGGGAGCAATGTAGTGCGCCACGGACCTCATGGTAGCAAGGACCACACTCTCGTGCTACCCTCGTGCTAACTAGATGCACTGATAAGCGGCTGTGAACATCATCATCCAAATTGTAAATGTGGCCTCGAGACTGTTGATCTGGTACCTGCTCTGTGCCCCTCGATTAGCTGCATGTGTATTTCTTTTTCGAGATATGGTGTCTCACACTAGTAGAGCACTGCGGGCACAGCATCGCGTACAATCTGTGTACTCAGCAAGCATAGTATAAGTAGCTAGCGCGGTGTAGGATTCAAACATGAACAGGTCGAGATACTCTTTCATGGGGGCATTGTATAAACGTTGTCTAATCACTTGAGGAGCTGTGTGTCTCTACTCAGTGGATGAATTACCTTAACTCTAGTCACACACATCTTGTCATTAGTTGATTGTCAGCAGACGAGCAATCAACGATTCGTCTCTACGTGTAGTAAAGGTCTAGCGCAAATTGCGTTCTACAAAGATACAGCGGAAGCCCATGGAGGGGAGGGGGGGGGGGGGGGGGGGGGGGGGGGGGGGGGGGGGGGGGGGGGGGGGGGGGGGGGGGGATGGGACAAGAGGGGGGGGGGGGGGGGGTGCAGGGGCTGGCGTCCGAGAGCGGGGGGGGGGGGGGGGTGGGGGGGGGGGGGGGGGGGGGGGGGGGAGGGGGGGGGATGGGGGGGGGGGAGGGGGGGAGGGGAGGGGGGGGAGGTGCCGCGCCGATAGCGAAGTGCGACAGTGCAGACCCCTCCAAGCCGAAATGTCTGACTCATTGAGTAGTCAGTCAAGAGGCATGCATCTCGTGGCAAGTGGCATACAGCAGGTGCATGGCTCACGTAGAGTACGAGGGACAAGGCTTTCATATTTGATCCATAATATAAGGCAATCCTGAGGTAGCGTTGCCTAGTGGCAAATTCTCTACGACACAACAATCACTCTGTGTCGACCCCTCATGCATCAAATACGTGTATACACTAAATTGCACAAATCCCAAACTTGCTGTTTATGATGAGATGTCCTCTTCTAACCTATAACTTCCAATAACCGAAACTACGTCGTATTGCAGATTTTGTTCTCTACATGAACAGGTAAAGTCAAGCATACACAGAGACATTGCCATCCTCGTACTCAGCCAATCCAAGCAGTCAGGACAACCTATAACAATCGCAAGTACAGACGCAGTACTAAGGCTTTTTGACAGTCTGAGGCACGACGTCTACGTATCCAAGAGTGACGCATCAAATGAAATACTGTCACTCAAACTAGGATAATACAAGTCTGCGAGGTTCCCTCTAAACAGGGAGAGAGCCAGATAGGCATGGTTACTCACAGGCGCACCAGCCTCCTAGATTTCTAGGTGTAAACATTCTGATTCGGATGAGCAGCACTCTTAGGTGGACTACCATACACTCCACAAAGGCATCAGATAGTAAATATGTCTTGCTCATAGGAAGATCCTGCGAGCCCACTATCACGGCGCCTCATATATCTGAAATCAGGCCCACATGAAGAAACCGGCAGCTCATCACAGAGCCGGCTCCATACCTATTACGAAACGAGGATGCCATCACAGGACCTCCTTAGCGCACTCCTAAAGGGAGTTTATGTCATGGACTGACTCCACTTACAAGAGGGCTGACCAGAGTCTCTCATTAGCGATGGCAGTATAAATTGCTGAGAAAAACTGTTCGATCTACTGATGCACCGCACTTACCCAGAGATTTCTTCTAATCAATCAAGTGCAGTCCAGTATACTTGATGGACTCATGCTAGAGCCGAGCCTACTGCGTCTTTAGACCACCACCACACGGCACGTCAAGATAGGATGACAGAGTCCCACAGCTGCTATACGAAGGTACACGAACAGTGCACTCAAGAGGCGTTTCAAGAAATCACTGACGCATGTCTTCTAGGGGGGGTACGTATGGGTTCCTCTACTCACGGTACCTAGATTTGCAATGACTGGAAACACGTTCGACATCTGCGTAGCGACATCATCGATTGTGCTACTCCGATCATATTGTTCAAGAACTTAGAAGGCGACTTTGACGTTGCTTGCTAGTTTACGTCCGAATCTGAACGAGCCAACATACAGTACTCTGGAACTTAATCCTGACCGAGTGTACAGGACTGAAAGTACTTAGTAGTGGAGCTACGGAGAACTGGTGTCCCTAGACCACCGGCCTTCTAGACAGCTGCGATGTGCCATCAGCGTCCCTACTCACTAGCCTGGCGTCGACCACGGCTCCACTGATCTTAATCATTCTCACCACTGCTCACTTGCCAGCAGAACCTCGCTGCAGGCTTACACTACACAGATTAATCAGCAACGTGGTCTACCGTATATCAGAATTTCTACGCCTCCACGACTCACTTCAGGTACCTAAGATCTGCTCGTCCGCACTGACGACGCTTATCGAGAACATGACTGGAGTGCACGAATACAGACTACGCCCTCCTTCACTAGTACTACCTCAGACACAGATCATGTCGCTCAGGATGCACAAAACACATCAACTTCTACCACTGCGCTACACGACAGAAAAATACTGAAGTACTTATCGTTTGTCTCGGACCTCACTCGACCATACAAAGCAGACGACGCGTTACTGCCATCCCACTCACTTCAGCACTGGTCAGTCCATAGTCTCTCGTCAGCTCCCTCACCAACCCTCAACAATCTCAGCAGTCAGAACATCTACAGGATGTAATACCATGGTCGACTCAGCTCACCTATGCATGGTCAAGTAGCTGTTCACATATACAGTGCTCTGTGCAGCATCGATCAGACCTGTTTTGTGATTACTACCAACCTAAGAAACATTGCCTACATCATTAAACAACTCTGATCGTTACATACCAACAACGACAGACTGTCAGGCTAGTATTCTTAATGTCCAGTCGCAGTTGTCTCCGAGTTATGCCTACGATTGACCCACTGCAAATGGCATTGACATCAGGCATGCAGGAGAGCGGACCAAGAGGATGCGAGTCACAACTCTAGAATACGAGAAGCAGGGTACCAAGAGCAAGACGCAGACTGCAGAGAGTAGACATCCCAAAGAGTTAGCTGCCAAGCACACAAACAGAGGTCATCTGACCGAGACACCAGGAAGTACGACCGACACCTAGATCCGACGAGACCAGGCCTAGACACATGTCTCATGCAGACTGAGGACCTAGTCCTAGTAGGACTGACAGAGAAGGTAGGATCCCAGTTACTAAGAGTAGCTCACTTACGCTTGTAGAGACTAAGTCCATTCCATGGACCTCACGACGAGCCACCAGAGGCACGAGACACATCCGCAGAGCACTACAGATGTGGGCTGAGACCCAGAGATATGAGCGACAACCTCAGGAGAGCATCTGAGGAGCTATCAGACGGACTGAGCAGCATCTGTTCGAGAGATCGCCAAGAGTCGAGAAGACCAAGAGACATGGAGAGCACGGACTAAGCGGACGAGAGTCACGACTAATCGCGACGAGACGCAGGCTAGAAGTCACGCGCGAGAGCACGCACCTTACGTAGAGATTACCGCCACGAGGAGACGGTCCAGTAGAGACCAGGACGTCTAGCTAGCATAGCAGCTTTTTAACACAGCTATGACGAGACGATGTAAAACCAGTAGTTCTTTAGTCTATATAGCTGATGCCATCACGAAGTAGAGATGGATTTACCAATTGTTTTTTATATATCTTTAATCTTTTATAATGTGCGCTATGATTATTGTATGATATTATTATAGACCATAGATAATGACGAGACCTTATGTTGAGTTAATATAGATTGACTCCATTTAAACGGTCAGGTTCAGTATACACAACTAGACGTATGTGTGATTATGTCACTCAATCACATCGTATGTCTGACTCTGTACCTACAGTGCACTGACTTTTCATTGCTTTAACTTGAAATGTCTAATGTCATTCGATCGAATATAAGTGCGCGTGAGTTATATGGGTAGGATTGCGTGTGTACCGCGTTGCGTTGAGCCTGAGAGTAATGCGTGCAGGGCGGCTCTATAAGAATAAGCGACAGTTGATTGATTCTGAACATGATATAAGAGTAGATGAGCTAACTCAGCACGCGAGCGACCTAGAGAAAGATGCAAACCTTCGTAGTGCAGCGTAGCGGACAGTTATTCGACGGCGTGACCTTGAAGTAGTATATAGTACCAATGCAGAGATTATATGAGAGTCCTTACAGAACGGTATTGCAAGTGACTGACCAAGAAGAGGCAATAAGGCATGCACACGCCGCTTGACGACACTGTGTGCCGTCATACGACGGTTGTGCCGGTGGCGGGATGAAGACCGTATGAAAGGACGGAAGTACCTCATGTTTCCTACGCATGAGCCTACTCTGAACATTATATACCTTCAGTACGAGCAAGATTATAGTAGCACCAGTAGAGCTGACCAGGCTTGGCGCGCTGGCGCTTTATGAAAGATATGCGCGAGCGTTAGTAGAAACCGTAGAATTAGTATGACATGCAACGAACCTGAGGCACGATACGATATTGAGAAAACAGTCAAAGCAGTAGTCACTCGCTAGCGAAGTTGCATGTACGCTCTCGCATTGATCTGACTCAATAGTATTGTATCTTATCCCCGAGCTAGGTGCGCATGGAGAGGAGATAGGTACAATACATTTGTGACTAACGAAGATTGTCCAGTACACGGACAAGGCAATGAAGCACTACAACAAATTAACTGTTATCTGTGTGGTGGGCACAACCACTCCCACACATGATTGCATCTTCTTAGGTGCGACGTGATGAGAAAATAAACAGCGATTAGCCTTGATGTCACTTGCAAATACCGGCAAACTAGAGGACAACAGAATGTTACGATCATCTATGGTCGAATTTCAGGGGGCTACCAGATACCTCCACCAAACCTCGCAGTCATGAAAATCTATCTATAGAGCACAGGTAAGCAACAAGCGATGAACAGCGGAACAGGAAATAACCAGAGTAGAATACATAGGTCTATGCCAGTGAAAATATAACTGACTCTTTGAGACTTACACATTAAGCCATGGTCAAGAAAAAGACTGCGAGCGACGATCCAAATCATAACAAAGGGGGCCGTAGGGAATATATCATATATCCTTACAAAACAACTTCAGAGCAGTATAAGCGCGCCATCCATCAACAGAGAGTCTAGCCCACTCCGCTAGAGCAGTAATCGTGAGCATTGCTACCACCAGAGCATGTGTAATCATCACAGACGTAGCACTGAACTCTAGCGCGACTCGACACCCCAGACATCAGCAGGACACTAGTAGTTATTCGCGCGCGCGCGCTCGCGTGCGTGCATAACCAGCAAATCAAGGACGATTGCAATTCACGTTAACAGCATTCATGCGAACGATACCTTTTATTCCATAACACAATACACCTATAGCAGTAGGTTCACCATAGCCTATCAAGATCCGTTGATTCTTTAAACTGATTATAGAACAAGATCTCTTTAGAAGTCACGAGAACGCAAACACAGAGATCCTGTTCAGCAGGAAGCTCACCTACATTTAGCAGCCTGTTACGACTATTCACAAGGAAATGTGTAGATTGCGTGAGCACCATCGAAGAGAACATTTCTAGCCTAAGAGCCATCACACCAGGCAGCACAGGTAGACACTCACCCAAAGACCCCATCATCTATCGCGCACACGAAAGTAACACGCTTGACATAATTGAGCAACAGTATCTTACTCGCAGCACAGCAGGTAGCGAGAAATTACACTTTCCCCTCTTTCCTCAAATGAGAATTCGACAAAGACTGCCTTCGTGTCGCTGCCTCAACTATATTCCATGGCATGTGAAAAGGATAGTGGGTTTTAATAAGTGAAGTTCCATAGTTCCAATACTGAAAAATAAAAAAAATCTGACTTGCCCCGTTACCAATCTTATACCAAAATCTATGTCCAGCTTGACTTTTTGCCTGTAGTCTGTGCATTCCTATTCACCCATTGTACCTCTCTGAAAGCAATGATGGGACCCAAAACCCTGGACCCCAAAGCCCTGGATTTATAAACTAGTCCCCAGTCAGTAATTGGTGAGTTGTGAAAAAAGGCAATGACATGAGAGAAGGTCGACGTGGGGGGGGGACACTTAGAAGATCTACTACCTCAATGTGATGGCACAGGCAGTATAGACACGGGCCCCCCCGCGAGGCACACCACATTACACTTAGTAGTTTCACAGACACAAGAGCATAAGTGAACCCCAGACAGAGCAGTAGAGCACCCACCCCCACGCAGACACAGCCACAGGAGGAGCGGCGACGCACAACGCTACCGACCCTTTATACAACACAGAGATCGTATCACCATTCATGATATACACATCAACACACAAGAGTTTCAGCATGTTGAGATCGCTATCTATGAGTCAGAACTCGCACAGTGCGAGATGCAATCTCTCCCTCATGATACAGGTCCATGGAGTCATGGTTACGTCCACTTTATTCAGCAGTTCTTAACTGTCTCCGCAAGGAAAGACGATACATCATCAGGTTCACAAGGAGTCAATGATTCAGGATTGCAGAACAGAGCAATAACCATGTGAGCATTAATGCTACGAGTCAAATGGTATAGGCATTATGTGAGTGATTCGTGGATACGTAGTGAGTGGAGCCTTGCTACGCTTGTTTGCATGAGAGAGTAGCACACCCAGTCAGAGAGGAGAGCGAAGAGCAAGGAGGCGCGGGCATGGGACGAGTAGTCTCCAACAGGCTAAGAACTACAGAAGAGGAGACTCCGGAGAGAGACTAGGCAGGAGGCAGGTGCAGTCTACGAGCGAGAAGGCATGAGTTGGTAGTTTCCACGCATGAGTAGTGAATGAGAGGGACGACGGTCTGTCAAGTCAGTGCAGGAGACACGCACAGAGAGTAGTGCAGGATGAATGGCTTGTTCGAAGGCGCATATACTCAGCAACTAGTGTCACTGTAACAACGTAACATCAGCTATACGAGGTCACACGAGGCTGTCAGCGAGTGAGATTATATCAAGATCGACGCGCGCCAGCCCGCATACAGGTGAAGCGGAAGAGAGCAAGTAGTTCGTTCAGTAGTCTGATAGAGTCTGACGCAGTGTCTTGTCGTGCAGGTAGAGAGCTGAGCGTGGGGTGAAAAGCATTTGTCTGCGGCCAACATCTGGAACCAGGTACGCGCCTACGCAGCCTGGAGCTGAGCGCGGGGAGGTCTGCCACTGACTGGGCTCGCCGCACGGGAGACAGTAGAGAGGAGGGCGGATGTGCCAATGGCCCCTCCGCAGCTTGATGATGTCTAGACACTACTATGGTACTGATCGCGGCTCGATGTCGTCGCGAGAGCAGAGTGAGCGCGAGAGTGAGGCACCGCTCCGCTACTTCACTCGGTCTCGATGCCATGTGGATCTGTCTGAGTCATGCGCGATGAATGTGCTGTGGGGGACATCGCATATCGGCCCGTGGCTGCGCTCTCTCAGGGTTTCGGCTGAGGGGCAAGAGTGCCCCCTGCGTCAGATCCGGCAGGGGCCGCGTGCCTGCTGATCCTCAAGACTACGCGTCCGATGCGCGCGTACGTGGAATATGAGAGACGTGTATGTCAAAGGCACAGACTGAGCGTTAGTCATTGGAATTCGTGCCGTAGCACTAGCACTTCGAGGTTACTAGAATAGTAGAGTAGAGAGACTAGATGTAGGCAGGACTGATTAGGTTGACGTAGTGGCAACAAAGTCTCTTATTTATTGGTGTAAGATGTACTCTGAAACAAATGAGATGGTTTGTGAGGCATTGGTGCGGTCTGCCATCAGCACCACTGACTCCTTATTTGCGGACACGCAAGTGAGAGCGATTACGGGTGTAGCTGTGTGCTTTGGCTTTCTCATTAGCTCTTTGCCAATTTTCCTCCTCTAGACAGCGACTGCGAGTTGTACGAAGTTCAGGGACAGCCATATGCCACGAGGAAGGTAAATTGAATCGCGCCCCCCCCCCCCACGTGCGGTCGCTCACGTTTCTTTAAACACCACACAAGCAACTAGTAAAGAAGCTAGAGAGCAGAGCGATGTCCTAGTGCCCATAGTGGGTGACATGGCGCCATGCCCAAGTCTCATTCTCATCTCAGATGCCTGACAGACGCACGACTATGGAATAGAGCGACGTTACTCTTAGAGTCGAGCGCTGCCTTCTTTGCTTCCTTTTGTCTTTTGTTTGACCAGATGTTGAACAGACAGAAAAATAATCTTTTGATGAGTTTTCCAAGTCGTTATGTCACTGCCAGTGTGTGACATCACACACACACGCACACTCACACACACACACGCGCACACACACGCGCACACACACACACACACACACACACACACACACACACACACACACACACACACACGCACACGCACACGCACACGCACACGCGCACACACACACACACAGGAAAATGCTGATTCTTCAGGTACAGCCTTATTGTGATGCGTAATTGCTTCAAACTGATGCATACTTTTACAAATTGACCTTTATCAAAACCTTGAATCGTATTAATCTTGTGTTTAGGCCCATTTAGACTGCCCTGTCTTTGTGCAGCCATTGATTTATACAAGCGTCTGCTCAGAGGCTCCAGACAACGGCTTTTTTACATTGAGCCAAATGGCACCATTTCATCCTGGACGTCAGACAGAAAATAAATAAATAAAAATGTAACATCATAAGAGCCTCGACTGAAAAAGACTTTGCAGTGTCTGTCAAAGTAAAAGGGGATCTATACTGACTGTTGGTTTTTCTCTTGCAGTCTTTTTTGAAGGCTCAGACAAAACTTTCAGAGAGATTTTTTTTCTTCAGATTGTTTTCACACACTGGTGTAGAAACACTGACAACATAACATATGTCAGGATTTATTTTTAAGGGAAAAAAAATGTTCCTAGAAATGAGAATGTGGCCCTTTGGAGCGTATTAACAATTATTGAGAAAGAAAAAAGGTTCTCACATTACACCAAGGTATATACAAATATACAAATCCCTCCATAGTCTTTTGGTGTCTCAGATCATCAAACCTCAACCTACTTGACCGCTGCAAAGCTGAAGGTAGAGCAGCTTTCTCACACTATGCTTCTTGTAAATGGAATAATCTGCCTCATGTTGAGCTCATTTAAGTAAACTACAGACCCTTTTCTTTAAATGTTCTTTCCAGAAAACTTTTAAATGGGTCAGTGATGTCTCTCTGGGTAATAAACACATGAGCTATTTCTTTGTAACAAATGTGCTGTAAAGAAACATTTTGGATTACAGTTCTTTTGGATTACAGTCCGAACTATTCAATTCTCCTTCATATCAATATTTCACACAAGAATCATTCGCTGCTTATTTTTGTTTTTCATTATGCATTTTACAGTGTTCCTGGTTTCAGTACCAGGAAGTACTGGTATCAGTACTTTAATACATTTTATGGACAAAACCTTTTACTTTTCAACTTACTTTAAAACCCAAATACATGAACTTTACTTTAGGAAATGCTGTATATATCAACAAAAATGCACTGCAATGCTTTTCTACCAGGCACAGATGGTCCTAGTATCTATACTTTACAAATTATAGATACTGCAATACAAATGCTTTCATCTGGTGTTTTTACCTGCTCTGAAAACCCACTGTAACCCTCATGGGTAATTAGTTTGTCACTGCTGACAACACATTATCACTGTCTGTCTCGTCCGCAGTGTTGCACCATTACGATTGGAGCTCTCCATCACCAGCCCTGACCCCTGAGCTGTCTGCTAACCATGGGGCAGGGGAGAGCATTCAGCCTGATGAAATGATGGGCTAATAGCCTTTAATGAGCTGTTTGGGGCGTGATGCCGTCTCCGCAGAACAAGGCGCTCTGACATTGGCCATCTGCATCTTTGCACATCTCTCCTCTAAGCATCTGTGGCTTTGTGTGAAAGGAGAGATGTGTAAGAGCTGACACCACTAATGGAGAAGGCCGCGCCAACGTGAGGAAGAGCCGCTGGTGTGCAAGAGGCTTTCACATCCTCAGCGCTGATAAAAGGAAGGCTAAGAGAGAATAATGAACCAGATGAAGTATCGGAAGTGAGTGAAAGACTGGGATCCAGAACTTTATGTGTGCGGGGTGTGCTTGTTTTCCATTGAGGGCTCCGGTTCGCCCACTTCCTCCTCAACAGGTTCTTTGTTGGCCTCGAGACAACCACCATCTGATGGACACAGTTTTGATGAACCGTGAAAGAGAGTCCATAACATGCCTAATTCCATTGGAGAAGTTTAGAGAAAAAGAAAAGTTGTGCCACATACACATAGAGGTGCAAATACATTAGATCTATGATTATTTATTTCTGCGATTCAACGTAAAATGAAAAATCAATATAAAATAATTCGGTTATATTTGTTATAATTTTGACGTTTATATCATGTACTTGATATATCTCTCTTTGCATGTAATGGGTTGATTTACAAGAGTAAATGGACACACTCTTGATGGAATTATGACATTAATTTTACCCCATTATTTGCTTAAAGCTGGGGTACCTTTTTGCTTCATAAATAACAACAACATGCTGTTGCAAGACTGCTGCAATTGTTGTTGTTTTTTTGTTTGTTTTTTAATAATAAAAGACAATGCATATAAAAATGAGCTTTGTGAGTCACTATTTGATTCTTTGGGCTAATACTCTTTGATTATTTTGTACACTGTATTCCCTGGGCAGTGTAGAAACATCCCATAATCGCACATTAATTGATGAAATGCACATGAACTCAGAGTTGAAGAGCAGAAGTCCTTACTCTGACACAGACAGTCCAAATGCTTGGTTAAAATTGTGAAGAATCCTTTTGACTGCCCTTTCCCTGACTTCCACTTCTCTTTAAATCTTATCTCTTAATACTGTGCTTGAGGTCCTATAAATCTTTTCTCGGTCATCTTTTAGTGGTGGAAAATCTCTGGGAATTAAGTAAATGTTGCATACCGCTGTTTATTGAGGGCAGTATAAATGAATTTTCAGGCCACGGTGCACTTTGAGTTTAATATGCTATTATCACTTCATCTGTATTAGACATCTGTTAAGCGCAGTAAGTGCTGCAGATGCACATTGACAAAAGGGAACGCCTAATGAGCTCGGCCTGACTTATTGTCTGTCATGCAGTCACTTTCATTTATGGCCAGGCTAAATTGATTTTGAAAATATTATTAAAGCCACTGGAGCATTCTTTGTCTAATTATTGCAGAGCTTCTCATAACATTTGTATTACTATAAATACACAGGCTCTGCTCTGTGACCCAAACCAAACCTTTTGAGCCTCTCTCTCATCTGTGAGTGCTTTGAATGCTGGAGTGAATACAGCGCATTTCCCATGGCTGCTTCTCGCCTCATAATGTAAATCTCCATATGACTGCCTTTGGTCCATGTTTGAGTCTGTGCTGAGCAGCTAAAGGGATAAAGTCCTCTCCTCTTATACAGCCAGAGCTACTTAACCAAGACTTTCTTTTTGCAGTTTCTCATAAACCAAACAAAGGGCACCTAGATTTTTACAAACAAATTAAGCCAAGTGGCCCGGATCGTCGCCACGGGGGTGTGAAGACGGCCTGCAGTCAGAAGGGTTTATTTTTTCAACCTTGCCAGACTAAATGTGGGTGTAGTACAATGCTCGGTCCTGCTGGTAGCGCTAATACCAATACTTGTAACTAACTACGGGGCTTCTTATTTTGGAGTAAGTAAGTAATCTTTATTTATATACCGCCTTTCACAGACCGGAGTCGCAAAGCGGTTTACAATTGTAATTTTTTGGGCATTTGTCGTTTCACTCCACACAGAGATGGGAGCGGGGCCAGTACAGAAGGCACATGCCAGACCTATTGTACATGTTTTTTGTGGTAGGGGAAACCGGAGTACCTGGAGGAAACCTACGCAGACACGGCGATAACAGGCAAACTCAACTCAGAAAGGCCCTGTTCCGACCGGGGTTTGAACCCAGGACCTTCTTGCTGAGAGGCGAGAGGGCTATCCACTCAGCCACCATAACAGCAATTACTTGAATTAGACAAAACGCCATAAACAAAATAAAAAAGAATATAGATATGACAAAAGAAGCAGTCTGTTTCCACTAAAGATAGCATTAGATTGTGCACCTTTCTAATAATTCTAATGTCTTCTTTCAAATGTTCTACTCCTACTGGACGCTTTATCATCGATCATGGTCATTGTCAGACAAAACAAGATACTTTTGCAAAACTGTTCAAGCTTAGACTCAAGGACCCAACATCTCTTCGCACCGAGGCCTCTGAAAATCAATGGTTCTTTGTTGTTCAGAGGAAGCTCCTGGAAGCACCGCGTTTAAAGCCCATCATGTTTATGTTAATGGAGATGAAGCAGCAGCAGCACAGCAGCCGCTTGGGAGGCGCGGAG